TTTTTTAGATTTATGTATTAAAAATCCATACATCGCACACGCTTTCATCTAATGTATTTGTTAAATACGGGTCTGGACAGCACCCCCAAACCAAGAGAGAATCCAATTTCCAAGACCAAAAGAGGTTCTATCCCAAAATCATATGACAATAGGAGGAGTAGTCCCTTAGCCTTATAAAGTGTTTAACACTTATATGTATTATTTGATAGGATATATTTCAACATTATTCTTAATCTATAACACCAACCAATAAAACCAAAACCTCATCTTTTTTTTTACAAAGTATTAATTGTGTTATTATTTATTAAACCAAAAATAAAAATCCTCATTCTCTTAGATTTCATCTTCAAAACGTGAAAATGTGCAGCGTGGAAAAACGAGGCAACATCTTCATCCTGACGCTTAAAAGCGACGATAACAACGACGAACACCGCCTGAATCCGACCCTGATCGCCACCATCCGCTCCGCCATCGCCGACATCAAATCCCAATCAATTTCCGACCCTCAAACCCCTTTCGCCTTGATCACAACCGCAACCGGCAAGTTCTTCTCAAATGGGTTCGACTTAAAATGGGCGCAATCGCAATCCGGAAAGTTCTTGACCCACTTACACCAAATGGTTGATTCATTCAAACCATTGGTAGCAGATTTGGTGTCTCTTCTGATGCCGACGATCGCGGCGATTAATGGGCATGCCGCGGCAGGTGGGTTCGCGCTTGCGCTAGCGCACGATTATGTGGTGATGAGGAAGGATAAAGGGGTGTTGTATATGAGTGAGGTTGATATTGGGATGACTTTTCCTGAGTATTTTAATGTGTTGTTTAGGGAGAAAGTTGGGTGGAAATGGAGGAGAGAGATTATGATGAGAGGGATGAAATTGAAGGGGGAAGATGGTGTGAAAATGGGGGTTGTTGATGAAGTTGTGGTTGGGATTAATGGGGATGAAGTTCTGGAAAAAGGGTTGAAATTAGGGGAAGAATTGTTGAAGAAGAAGTGGAATGGTGAGGTTTATTGTGAGATTAGAAAAGGGTTGTATCCTGATTTGTGTAATGAATTGGGGTTGATTAGGAAGAATGTGATTGTTCCCAGGCTTTGATTTCATATTGTATTTGTGTTTGATTTCGTGTTGTTTTTTGGGTTTGATTTGTTGTTTAGGGTTTGATTTCGTGTTGTTAGTATGTATGGTTGATTGTTTGTATCAATTTCAAGACGTTGAATTGAAATTCGAGTATTTCATTTTCAGTTTAGCTATAATCTTTTCACTATTGGTCGTCAACGCTAATAAATTACACTAATCGTTTAATACCTTTAAATATATCCACTATAAATAGGTTTAAGTCCCCAGTTTTTATAATTTTTCTCATTGCAAAAAAAAAAAAAAAAAAAAAAAAAGGAGAGCATGAGAGATGTGAAACCCTAGGTTCGTCTAGTGAAGAAAGTGATCTCCTGTAGAGATCAAATAAAAAATTGATCTCCTGCAGAGATCAAATAAAAAATTTAAGGAATCCGGGGAAGACAAGGGCTCCTCCCCAACGGTAGAGGGTGAAAATGAGGCAGTAAAGGTATGTGATGATGTGGAAATGGTTCCAATGACTAAAGATTCGCAAGGAGGTAATGCTCCGAGAAAGAATTCTTATTCCTCTGTTACAAAAGGAATAGATATTCTTTGAATCTTCTGTTCGATATGAATACTTCGGATAATGATGAAATCTCCGATGATGACTGCCTGGTGGATGGAGAAGAGGATGATAGCCTCTGTCCGACCATTTTGTTGACTAAAGAGGAGAAGCGTAGGCTAAGACAACCTTGGAAAGATGCTTTGTTAAAAGATTGAGCTATGAGGTCTTAGTTAGACGGCTGAGACTAAAGTGGTGTTTGAAACGGGACATTACTTTAACTGATGTTGGTTGCGCCTATTACATAATGAGATTCAATAATCTTGAAAACTATGATTTTGTGCTTGCTCAAGGACCTTGGGTGATAGGAGATAGTTACCTTACTATCAGAAAATGGATTCCTAATTTTGTTCCAGACGAAGAACCGATTAAGACTCTTACAGCATGGGTGCGTATCCCAAAATTCTCAGTGGAGTATTTCGACAAACAATTCTGCATAAAATAGGGTCCAAAATTGATAAAGTGATCAGAATTGGCAAGCATACAGTGACTCAAAGCAGAGGCTGGTTTGTTCAATTTAGCATAGAGGTCGATTTGACAAAGTCTTTACTAGCCAAGTTTCGGTTGAATGGAAGAATTTGGAGAATTCGGTACATGGGGCTTAGATTAGTTTGTTTTAAATGTGGTAAACTCAGTCACAAAGATGAGCAGTGTGATAAATTTCACCAGGATGAGAATAGTAATAATGAGAATGTCCCTACTTCTCAAGTTAATAAGGACAAGAGGAGTTTTTCACTAACAAAACCCAAAAACCAGAGGAACAAGATATGGAGCTTGGATGATCGTCCAGAGAAGTAATAGGAAGTCAGTGTCCAAAGGAAAAGCAGAGCAACTTTCGAAAAGTGCTCAAGATTAGGGTAAAAACGTCATTAGTCAAAAGAAAACCCAGCAGGAAGGTAGTGCCCAAGCAAGGAGGAAAACTTCAGGGGTGGCGATAGAGCATGTGAAACAGCTGGCTAAATCTTCGAGGTCAAGATATGAAATTCTTCAAATTGAAGAAGAGATGTGAAATCCCTTCAGTCTTACCAGAGAATCAATTAAGGGATGTAATTGAGGAAACCCATACTGGCCGAGGAAAATTTACTCATGCAAGTACTGTTAATTTAGGAGATGATCATATGATTAAGGAAGTGGATATTCCACAGGGGAATAATGCCAATCTTGGCAGTGACCGAATTACTTAGACGAGTCTATTATTAGACTGGGGAAATCACAATTAAAAGATAATGGAGGCAATTTTGGGAAAAACCCGAGTGAAGGGAATTTGGCAAAAAGAGGGGAATCTTTTATCCTGGTAATTCTAGAAAAGATCGGCTTGATAAGGATACTGCTCAATCTTTGCCAAAAGATGATATATCTATTCTTTGAACGGTAGAGGGATAAGGAAACAAGATGATAAGAAAAATTTGCTTCCTTATTCTAAATCAAGATCCCTGTCAAGCAAGGAAAATTGGATTGAAGTGGCCTGTCGTACCCCTTCAGCTCTAAGAAAAAGGTCTGACGTGAGTGTGGACTCTAGTGAATCTGTGAGACATTGTCACCATGAATCTGACAAATGCATCCCCCCGACCTTTGAGATGTTTGTGGATTAGCCATCGGAGGGACCAACATTGGCGAGTTATCATCCTTTGGCAAACAAGATGCACGTGGAAGTGAGTTCGTTTCCACCGCTGGCACACAATCCTCCGGACCAATGCGAGCTCTGAGGGAAGCATATCTGCCACTCATGCCTAATGTTCCTTTGAACAGCTATGATCGATTTCCTAATTTTCCATTGTTTAATATGGTAATAAAGATTTTAATTTGGAATGTTCAAGGTGTTGGGAATAAATTAGCTTTGATTAGGGAGCTTGTTAGGATTAATAATCTTACAGTTCTTGTGCTCGTTGAGACTAACATTAGTGTTGTGCAAGCTCAGAATATTTGTGATCAAATCTGTTTCTCAGGGCAGACCCGTGTCGATGCTCAGGGTTTTATTGGTGGGATACGGGTTTTCTGGGAAGAAGAGGAGGTGATTGTTACTTCGTGATAACCACTCACAACATGTGACTATTAGAATTCAAAAAGTTGGTGAAGATCCGTGGCATTTTTCAACCATTTATGCTAGCCCTAATAGTTCTATTCGTAAGGAATTATGGAGGGAGCTTGAAAAAATTAAAGGGAATTATTCGGGGCCTTGGTTAGTGGTAGGGGATTTTAATGAAACTACAAGCTTGAGGGGAAGAAATGGTGTTGGGGGTTCCAAGATGGTTCGAAGATGTAGGAATTTTGCTAATTTGATTGAGAATAATAAGCTACTAGATCTTGGTTGTTCGGGTCCGAAGCACACTAGGTTTAGAGGTAACTCGCTGGAGACTTTCAAATCTGCAAGATTAGATAGAGGTTTGAGTAATGAAGAATGGCGTATTATGTTCCCTGAGGGTGCTATTCGAAATTTACCGAAGTCAAGAAGTGATCACTACCGTATTCTTGTGAGCACCACTAGTTTTTCTCCAACCCCGAATGCTGTAAAACCATTTCGTTTTCAAGCGGCTTGGATGAATCATGACCAATTTGAGTCCTTTGTTTGATCGAAGTGGGACAACAGAGCTCCTCTTATTCTGTTCTTAAAATCATTCTCAAGACTTTAATTTTGATCAGTAGTTGGAATAGAGAAGTGTTTCATAATATATTCAGAAAAAAGAGTGAACTTTGGGCTCGGCTTGAAGGTATTCAATAGAGACTAGCACAAAGAAGGGATTAACATCGAATCAAGCTAGAAGGTGCCTTGAGGAGAGAGATGGATGATGTTTTGTATCAAGAAAAGTTATTGTGGTTTCAAAAATCCCGACTTTATGCTATTCGGGATGGTGATAGGAATACCAAGTATTTCCACCTCTCCACCATTATTCGAAGACGTTGGAATAGAATTGAAACACTTCAGAACTCAAATAGAAAATGGGTTCAGTGCCCAGCACTTGTAAAAACCATGATATCTGATTATTGGACAAAGTTGTTTCAAGAGGAGCTGTCTGATTTTGTTGGTGAACGCTTGCTTTTAGATCAGTTTCCTTTCATTGCTGATGAAGACAGAGAGGTTGATTCTAAACTTTTTGCTAGTTGTGAAGTTAAAAAGGCCCTAGTGAGCATGAAGGCCTTTGAAGCCCCGGGCCCGGACGGATTTTAATCGCTATTTTATCAACAATACTGGAATTTGGTGGCTCCAAATTTAATTAAGTTGGTCAAGGATGTGTTAGAGGGCCGTGATTTTTCGGATGGTCTCAATAATGCATTTCTTGCAGCGTTCAGTTGTTTAGGACGCTACAAATAAAGGTATTTGCAGGCTTGCAGCGTTCTCTTTTGGTGGCGCTGTAAATAATTATTATTTTTTTAAAAAAATTCTTTAATTACTTATTTCATTCTTAGCTAGTTTAATTCATCAAATCCCATGAAAAAAAACCTACTTTGGTAGTTTTCTCTCCTTCATTCACCGCCCACTCTCATTCACCTTCATTCCTCCGATTCCGACAATGTATTTCCTTCTTCTAAGATAGTTTTCGCTCATTTGAAGCCTATGCGCAAAAGGCGACGAAGTCTAGGTTGTTCACGGTGCCTCATGGTCGGAAATGCTTCTTGGGAGCTCGGTATTTAGGTATTTCTCGCTTTCTCTTTCAGATCTATCGTTTTTTCTTTCAATTAAGCAATTTCATGTTGTTTTTATGAGAAATTTGATGTCCAACCCTAAAATTCTTGATTAATATTTTGATTATAATTGTCGATATTTTGAACTTAGGGTTTTTGTAAATTTTCTGAAATTGCAAATGAGGTATCTTGCGTTGTTGATTATTGATGAGTTATTTATACGTTCGAAGCTTTGTAGAAACCTAATAACTAAATTTTTTGATCAATTATAAAGTTTATCGGTTGGATTTCGAAGAGGTTGAGCGAGAGGCTTCCTTCCTTAAATATCAATTATTAAATCGAAAGCTTAATTTGTTTAGATCTAGGGTTTCATTTGATTAAATTTTAATTTTAATTTTAATTTACATAAACTATTTTTTGTGATTTAACTTTTGGTTTAATTATTGTTTTTTTTTGCCTGAATTTTCATTTTGAATTTTTTTTTGTATAATCTGATTTTCAGAATTGTGTCTTGTGTTTCTTCGCTTGATTTTTTTTTTATTTTTATAATCTGATTTTCAAAGTTGTGTCTCTTGTTTCTTTGCCACAATTTTATTTTTTGTATAATCTACTTTTCAGATTTCAAATTCAATCGTGTAGTCGTTTTAGCATATGACTAGTGAAATGTGATTGCTTGAATGTGCATTTGGTAAATAGAGGGCAAATAGAGGACAAGTTTATGGGACTTGGGGATACCAATGTCGTGTTAGGCCCTTGGCAAGTTTGTCAGGACAACGAAGCTTTTGATCATTCCGAATCATATTTTTCAAAGCTCTTTTGTCTTAAGCGACTCAGTGGAGCTGGAGAATATTTCACCGTAGATGGAATATAGAACCCTTTACGAAATATAAAAACCTAGCTGAGATGTGTATTAGAGACTTAGGTAGCTAGGGCTAAGGGTCTCGTTAGAGTTACTACTATCTAATAATATTCCTATTTTTGTATCTTGAGCTCTGTGCTCCTATGTGGTTTAGACTGGTTTGAAAGAATAGATGGAATTTTGCATTTGATTAGATAGTATAATCTTGCGAAAATTTAGATATTGTTACCCCAATTATCTTGTTTCTAGTGTTGATAACTTATTCAATCACGCTATGTATTGCTCTGGTTATCCTTTGTGAATCGCTTATGATTGTGAGTGATGATTAATTGTTTTTGTGAGGCTGAGAATATCTTTTTCTAGCTGTACGTCTTGAGTGAAGTTCAACTTTTGATTTTTTCAGCATGTTGAGTGATTATGAAGTAACTTGTTTATTAATTGGTTTTTCCTACTTAGATTGTCTAAATTTTGTCAAAGTTCATGTCACGTGCACTATAGGTGCTGAATATAAATCTAACTATTGTCAAAGTAAGCTCGATGGACAACCAGAACTTATTATTCACATCGTGCCAGACAAGGCTAACAACTCCCTGTCAATTATTGACAGTGGTATTGGAAATTCGGAATGACCAAGGCTGGTGAAATTCGGAATGACGATTGCCGTCCACTTCTCGGCAACCCAATCCCGTTTTCCCTCATTACCTCCGTCGAATTATCAAGGTGATTTTTTTTTATTATCAATCCCATCTTTTGCTGTAATTTTTCAGTTGCTTTAAAATTAAGCTTGTTGATTCTTCTTTTGGATCTGGGTTTCATTGTTCATTACGAATGTTGTGTGAAATTTTTGTGATATTTTGATTTGATCATTTGAGGGTTCATTTATTTTGTTGCTAATCTAATTTCAGTAATTTACATTGAAAATGATGATTATTTGGGCAGTTTAGCTTTTAAATTCGTTAATAGGAAGTCTATGTTCGAATGTTTTTCTTTAGATCTGATGTAATTGGGGTAAATTGCCAATTTTAGTAGGAGGTGAATCAGGCAATGCAACCGACTTGATAAAATATTATTGATGTTTATTGCAGTATTTGCTTTAAAAATACAATGTGGCATTGTTTATTTACTTGCACTTTTGAAATGGCATCAATGCGCCTCGTTGTGTGATGATCCAAGATATTGTATTCACTTTGATATGAGTTGTGTAAACCAATTGCATTATACTGCATCGTCTTTGAGTTGTTGCTCTGTCGATTTGGATTTGATTATCCTTGTATGTCATGAATTTTCAGTTTATTATCTCCCCGATGACTCTTTCACTTTTTTATTTTTCTTGTTGCTGATTTGGTTTTTTCCATTGATATTGAACTTATATATGTTTGGTTTTGTATCTTAGATTTTTATTTCTACTTGAGTTTGATAATTTTTTTTAGTGAAGTGAAATGGTTATACGTTTACATGCTTTTAATTAGCCTTTATCTACCATGTATAAGTAACTTATTTTAGAGCTTCCTGATTACATGCTTCTGAGCTTTCTGGTTTCTCCATTGAAGCGGCTTCTAAGCTTTCTTTCCTCCCTTGAAAACAGCTATTTAAGTAACATGTTTTTCTTCAGTTTTGAAGTTCAGTTTTGAATGAATTTTGAAATTGCAGTTCTGATCCAGTTCTTCTTTAGGTTTGATTTTCATTTCTTAAATTTAGTTCTGAAATTAGCTTATTCTGAAAAATTAGTTATATCTTTATTGATATTAATTTATGTGGGACATTAGTTTATGTGAAAACGTTGAAGTAATGGAATTCTCTTTAGCTTTCGGAGCCAATTGTTTATACTAAGCACAATAGCTCCTTTTTTTGTCGGTTTTAAAAAGTAAGACTTCCTTGCCTTAGAACGATTCTAAATCGATCAAATTTCAAGAGTCTATCTAATAGATCCTTGAGTATGTTCTTGTTGATGTGACATTGCTAATGATAGACGGAACACAAATCATGTGCAGTTCTTGAACCTTGGAGTTTATGTTAAGGAAATGTTTGTTTATAATCAAGAATTCTTGACTCAGGCTTAAACAACCATGCCATTCAAATAAAACCAATAACTATTATTCTTTTACTTTGAATGTGAGTCTTTCCATGCGTAAACAGAATGATTGCTGATTATGGAACACAATAACCATATTTGTTTCAGCCTTAGCTTTAAAAGGTCTTTAAACAAAGCAGATGACCTTACAGCTGATGTAGCACCTACTTGTTTCATTCCAACCTCGTAAGTCAATAACTTAGCTTAACTTCATTTTTTTTGAGGTCACTTGGAAAGTGGAACTCTCAAACAGTATCTAATACTTATGAAGATAAATTGCTAAGTTTAACTACAATAAAATGAACTCTTAGGTAGAATTAGAATCTCAAATTCCTTTTCTTTGTTCCTTATTTCCTATATTTCTTATCATACATCATCTCATAACTTTAAGAACCTTTTCTTTAAGGGTTTTTTAACATGAGTGAACAAACCTTTGCCCGATTCTCCAATAATGGACTGACCTTTAAATCTTCCCATTTTGGACAGAAGTTTTCATTTTTTCGCCCATAACGGACTGAGTTTACCTGCAACCGGTTATTCAAGTCAACTTTAATAAAAAAAAAATTAAAAAAAAAAATCAATCCTCCAATCCACTCAGCCCCTCCTTCCCTGACCCCACTACCAGCCACCCTTCCTTCCTCCGTCTGACGGCGGCTGCCAGCGCCCAACCCACCACTCCGGCCACCGCAGCACAGACCACCTTCCACTCCGGCCACCGCAGCACAGACCACCTTCCACTCACTCCGGCCATCGCAAACCACCTCTCCTTTTTCCCCAGCCACCCACCCACCCACACCTTCTTCCCGACAGCCAGCCCCACCCAACCAGACCAACCCCTCCACCCCAAAATCCCACCCTGAAACTGAAACCTCACCCACCCCAAAACCCATGGCCTTATCTTTGAATCGAACGCCACCAGCACCCCAGCCCCACCCCATTGGACCGACCCCCACCTCCATTGCTAAACCTGCGTAATCTCACCCCACACCCCCTCTCGATCTTTTCCACCCTCCCTAACGCCGGCCGACCCTTTTCCCTAACGCCAGCGAAGGCCGAGATCAATCACACCGAAACCAACCCCTAACCCACTCCGGAATACCACCATAGTTACCCCAAACCCCCCCTAATCACCGAAACCAACCCCTAACCACCAAAAACCCACCCCAAATTTCTATTCAACCAACCTGAAACCCGTAAAAAAAAAATAGAGAGATGGGTGACGAGAGGCGGCGGCGGTGCGAGGGAATTGAAGAAAGAGAAAGAGATCGGCTGCGGTGGTCGGAATTAATGGAGGGAAGGAGGAAGGAAAGGGAAAAGGGATCAGGAGGAAAGAAGAAAGAAAAAAAAAGACCAATTATAAAATGACAAGTGGCATTTTACCTGATATAACAGGTTGGGTGACCTGTTTGGTCCATTTTAGGAGAAAAAAATGCAAACTTCTGTCCAAAATGGGAAGATTTAAAGGTCAATCCATTATTGGAGAATCGAGCAAAGGTTTGTCCACTCATGTTAAAAATTCCTTTCTTTAAGTGTTTTGACTTTTATACTTTGTTAGCATAATTAAGCATTAATGTGCTGTAAAACAAAGTTTCATCTTTTCCTTTAATTCGTACTTGAATTACTACATCAATGAGTCCTACTCATTAGTGTATGAAGCGAAAATATATGTAGGTTGTCATTCTTTGACAAATTGAGTTTTAACTCAATACTTCATGCTTATCAGAACTACCTAGTATTTTGAATACATTATGTCAAACCGTCCTTTCGGACTTAGCCATAAAAGTCATTCATGAGAAGTTGTATTTTAGAAATGCCTCTTCCTTCTTTGAGAACCTTTCTCAAAAGATTTCCTTTTACCAATCGTTGGAAACATTATAATTTGATTTACAATTCTACAAATATAAGTGCAAAGTATAACCATTTATCAAGATAACATAATAAGCATTGAAATACATGCAAACTAGCAAATTCTATTATCTTATTAACGTTCTATTCACACATTTATAAATTTCTCCCAATTAGGTGAAAATGAAACGATTCCAATATCCCAAAAATCAATAATTGATTAAGCATGCTTTGGCTTATTTTAATACTTAATATTTTAAGGTAAGCAATCTAATTTCTAATAGCTCCAAGCTATTCTTGGTTCGATAAATCGTCGCATCCAATGCTTCCTTGACGATTATCTCTTTTACCACGACATCTAAGGACTTATTGATATCGTTGAGTTTAACCAAACCTAACGTGTATGTGATGCCTTGCTTTAGCAAACCCATCAACATACCATACTTCCCTAGGAAAGTAGTAATGCCTTGTTTTGGCATAGCCCATTACTATTCTCATTAGTTCCCGAAGTGTCATCTTGGAATGACAATTTTGACTCAATATTCTTTGGGACTTAGCGTTTATATGTTGGTTGATTTAAGTGAACTAAATTAATCATTTAACATTAGAAATCCAAAACATGCATCTAATATCGTAATTATATGTAAGCAAAATACATATAAGGCATAAATAAAGATGCGTTTGACAACTAGCATGACCTCTTAAAACTTGATTTTTCAAATCTTTAAGGGCCTTCATTACAACTTCTTGATTTCGTCTTCTAAGAAACGCCGTTTTTGAGACATCACCACCAATTATGCAACTACTAAAAAAGTAAGGACTAATCTAAATAATTTAAGTACAAAAATACTTAATGGCACGCAATCCGTATTTAGATTTACAAAAATACAAAACGGAATGCAGTCCGTATTTACTATCCTAGTCAGGCCCCACTAGTTGCCATTTTGTAAAAACCTGCATTAGAATATCCATTCCATTCATCCATTCACTTCTAAAGTGAATGACCCATGTATTTTACAAAATAAATCAAGAAATAATGCAAAACGAGCGCAAATTGGTAACTAACTTAGGCGATTAATCCGATTAATGCGCCTAATTAAAACTAGTCAAAGTAATTATCCGATTATGTGAATTAACGCAATAATAATAGCTCAAAACCATTAATGAAGCTCCCACTAAATTTCACATTCAACTTAATTAAAATTAGTCAAATTAAAATTAATTAAGCCGGTTAACCCAAAATTTTGCCAAATAATTTTGCAAGTGCCGGGAAAAATTGAGGCCTAGCCTCGTTTTAATTAAAACAAAACCGCAAAAATAGTAACCCGTCAATAGGCGAGTGCCTAGCCTCAAAGCCATGAAGCTAGGTTTGTTAGGCACCCAACCTAGCTACCATACGCGGGTGTTGCCCGCACATCCACAGCAGCGCTTGCCAGCATTAGTAGCATCGCAGCATGTTGGCGCGCATGCATGTGCTGCTAGGCAACCTTGCCTTACGGCTGGGCGATGCCAAGTAGTCGCGCCCCCACGCAACACGTATAACGCGTTAACACTCCCTCGCACACACTCGCACATGCCTTGGCTCGGCAGCAACATGTGAGCTACTACAAGCAGCCCTGCTAGCCGAGCCTAGGTGCTCGAAGCATCGGCTTCGTTGCTTCCGGATTTTTTTCCGAATTTTTTGTGTGACATAAAAAATTAATTCTAAATTGATTTTAGAACTAATATTGAGCAATATTGAAAATAAAACAAGTCCAACTTACTTAATTCAATTTTAGTGCACAAACCAAAATTAGTTCAAGAACCATTCTTTAAATATTTTTGGCTCAATTTGATGCTACAAAAATTGAGGGCTATTCTCTCAATTAATTTAACCAACATAAATTAATATTGAGATTTTACAAAATAGTTGAATAAATAACCAATCATCTAATGAAATAATTTATCCAACACTTACTTAGGCACAATTGAATATTGTAACTTTCCAATATGAAGAACAATTATATTTCAAGCATAAGTATGAACATTTAAGATTTTAAACAACTTCCAAAATGA